GCATTCCACCTGGCAACAGGGTTTCCATTGGTTCTCAGGAAAAATAGGAGAAGGTGGATGGAGGTTGTTGGTGGCGGTGATTGGAGGGAGGGGGAGGGGAGTGGAGGTGACCGGAGTTGAGGGCGGTTACCAGGGCAACATGGTAAGAGCCCAGCAGGGTGTCCGAGACAGCAGGCGGGGCTGGAGGTGGAGTAAAGAGACCAACCCGGAGGGAGCGAGACGGGGCGGGTGGGGGGGGGGGGTGTTGAAGGGGGAGATAAATGAAGCCAGAGAGGCTACAGAGATGGAATATGGTGAGAGGTTGCTAAAGACATCACTCACTGAAATCTGAGAAGCACATTGAAGAGGGGAAATGGAAAGATATCAGAGAATAGGTGGACCGAGTCCTGCCAGGAAAAACCAGGGTGGGGCTCCCACGATTTATGAGACCAAGACGGAGAAACTGAATAGTCAGAGAAACCAGGAGGTGTGTACCAGGGACCAAAAGATGGTGTGTGTGTGCGTGTGTGTGTGTGTGTGTGTGCGTGCGCGCGCATATGTGTGTTGGCTCACCCACATGCTAAATGATGGCGATGGAGATCAACGATGGCTTCTTTCTTTTCTAATTTTTTTGGGGTGCACAACAAGATGTCTCACTGTGTTGCCCCGGATGCTACCAACTAATGGCAATCCTACTGCCTCAGCCTCCCAAGTGCTGGACTAGATCAACTGGTTAAAAATGTCTTTATTAAGAAAATGAGAATGATTTGGAAAGGAATGGTGTGCCACACACACACCAAAGACAATCTTTTCCCAAGCCCGACCCTCTGCTACAACCACCTTTCTGACCTCAAACCCACATCCCAGCCCCTGCCCCCTTCTGAGATCTCAGTGTTCTCAAAATGATCCACTGCTGCTGAACCTAGGGGAGCCGAAGATGCGAGCCCTAGGGTGTGGCTGAAACTCCAGGTGTTTGCAAAGGAGGCCGTGAGAATACAGAAAGGCCGGGGAAGAGGGCAGCAGAGGAGAGAGAGAAAGCAAAGCGAGGAGGATAGAAAGGAGATTTGGTAATCAGCTAAGTGTACAGGGCCCGGTGACTGAGTCAGGCAAGACAACGGTGTTGTCTAGAGAGACGCACGCACGCGGCAGAAGGAATGAGGTGTAGGTGGTTGGTTGTAAGGGAGGGGTCTTGGTCAGTAAGAATGAAGAGAGTTGAAGAGAAACAGAAGGACCAGGCAAATAAAAGTGAGGTGAGACATGAGACAGGTAAGAAGACAGAGAAAGAGGCGGCAGAGGAGATCAGAGGCCTCTGACTCCTTTCAGGTCAAGGAAACAGACGGGAAGGAACCCGCCAAGGACCGCAAATGTCAGGTCCAACCTATGAAAGGTCCAGACTGTCCTTTGCACTTGCCCTTTCCCCCTCAAGGCCACCTAGAGAAAGCGGACAAGAGCGAGAAATGGAAGTGGCTCGGCAGCCTTGTTCCCCTTCTTTCCGCTTTTGGTTTCTCAAATACCTGCCCAGCTTTTCCATCTGTGCCTTTCTCCCTACATTATTGCGCCCCCCCCCCCCCTTTAGTAAAATTTCATCCGCCCTTTAGTAAAATTTCAGGGTTTTGAGGAGGTCAGCAGGAGTCTGGCCACCTCTCCAGTACGCCCCCAGGAGTCAGACTCCAGCTCGCAGGCAGTAGGCTGGCATTTGGAGCGGTGTCTCCCCGCTGGAACCCCACCCCTTCCCACCTCCTCGCCCCACTCCGCTCTCTCCCGAGCCGTCAGTCTCTCCATTTCCCCCTCCCAGTCTCGTCCTTCCTCCCGCCCCGCTCGCTCTCCCGCCCTTCGCTTTCATCCTCCTATCCCCACCTCTTCAACCTCCTCTTTCATCCCCCTCCCCTCTCTTCTCCTCCCCGCTCCCGCCTGCCCCACCCCTGGGAAGCCCCTCCCGTCGGGCAGCGCCGCCTTAAAAGCGGGTTCCCTTGCCGGGGGCGGCAGCGGCTGGTCGGCGGCAGCTCTGCTGGTGCGGGGGCGGCGAGCGAGACTGAGCGACCGCGACCGGAGCGCGCCGG